AAGTACGCACAATCCTCATGATTTTACGAGCTACTCTGTCGGATACGCTGTTGGAAGGGCTAACGTTAAGCCCTAAATCCAAAACCCTAAACCGACTCCTATTTTATTCGCCTGCAAGCTGACAATCTCCAGGCATGTTGAAACTGCAGGTGCAGAGCAAGCAGACAGCAAAGAGCCTCAACTGGCCTGCTTGATGTATTAATTTCTAGTGGATGGCTGATTAGATTAGATCACATCAGGAAGGACTGACAAGTTTAGATTGGTGGCCTATATACATTCAAACAAAGTTTAGTCTTCAACGGACAACCATAGACAAGCAGCACGTCGCGGTGGACGATGTGGCGATCATGTAGGTATTTGATGCCCTGGCACACCTGGCTGAAAACAACTGACCACATCCAGGGCGTAAAAGCTTGTTTAACATTTTGGGGGAGGTGAGTTTTATCCTGAGCTTCAAGCTACCAGTAGCACTCTGACAACTCTCAACCCGAACCTTAAACCCACAACCCCAAAACCTTGGGACCCCAAACCTTGAACATCCTAAACAGACAGGCCAGGCCTGGAAGAAAAGGCGCTTTGCCAACGGGTCGTCGGTGCGCCGATTGGGTCGCTTCTTCCTTTTGTTGGGGGGCTGAGGGGCTCATAATTTCAAGGGGTGTGCCTGCTGCTTGTATTAGGAAAACAAAGAAGCAATAAGGGAAGGGGACTTCAAGTCCACAATAAACTTCGACATGTCTAAACGCCAAGCTGGAAATCATGGGCCGGACAGTGCACTTCGCTGCAACATCTCTCATGCTGCAGTGCCGGCGAGTGTCAAAAAGTGGTGCAGCGACCCCCCCGAAACGAAATCCATGATCAGGTAGATCTGCTTGGGCCTCGGACGGCGTTGACGGCTGTCTGACCGAATTGTTTAGACTTGCAAACTCCTTGACATGTTTAGAAGAGCTCTCGATACGTACATGTGCCCATGCCAGCAGCTGAACATAAATTAATTGACCCCTTCCGAAATGTTGGCAGTGACGTCTTCGGGAGCCATCATTCCAACTTCTTCTACTTGGCACATTCAACCATTCCAGCTAATAAATCCCAACTTGAAAACCCTAATCCTAAATCCTAAGTCCCGCCCAAAAGCCAACATGAGCAGCCGGTCACAGCTTGTAAACTGTCCGGGTTCTGCACCTACGATTTAGGGTACAGCAGACGCCCCAAGCACACAAGTAGCAGCAAACTTTAGGGGGCTAAGGAAGTATCTTAGATTTTTTGGCAGCCGCCTCAGGCCCAGCTGACTTTTGCTCTTGCGGTTTTTTGGGTTTTGAACCCCGAGGCGCATCCCAAAACGGTGTCTACTGTGAAGCTTGATTAAAGCCCCAGCCCACTCTTGCGGGGAAGAGGGCGTGTCCAAAGCTTCGTGAAACTCCACGATGTTCGGGTGTCTCAACCGCTCCATAAGCCTGGGCTATGGCATTGTAGGGACTGAAGGTTCATGGAGCTGCAGGGTTCAAGGGTCATTCCCAGCGTTGGGGGAGCACATGCGTACTTTCTTTAAAGGGCTCGGGGGGTGGGGGGGGGAAGTCTGATTTCCTTTGCCTCGTCCTTAACTGGACGAAGGGGTCCTTGCAAAATGGGAGGTTGCGGAAGCCTGGAGCCATAGGGCTTCAGAGTCACAGGGCTTTGGTTACTTGGGGCTTTATAGCAGGGATTGGGGTTATACTTACAAGGCTTCGGGCTAAATGCCTAGGTTCAGGCGCACAGTGTTGGTTGGTTGAGAAGTCGCTATGAGGCTTGAGGCTTGTAGTGTCAACAGCAGAGCTTCTAGAGTTTTGGGGGCATGGGATTTAAGGGGGTTCTATAGGTGTTGATAATAGTGTTGATAATGGCATGTCAAGAGGAAGACTGTTCACGACAAGGCGGCAAAGCATCTTCCCCGAAACTCTCAAGCCGAAGCCCTGATCTCAGAAGTTGTGACCCGGATCATCACAGTGAACACTCCGACTCCGAACTATGATTTGAGACACTGAGTGTACTGACCCCAAAAAACCGATTCCATCCCACGCTGCACCGCTTGCGGTCACGGCGCCGGATCTCGCAACGGACGCTTTTCCGCCGTTGCGGGTCGAGGAGCTTGTACTTCTCCTAAGCTTCTTAGTCCCTGACGCCACTCTGTTCACACTGAACCCCAAGGGTGGGCGGCGGCTGGCTGCGATTGGGTTCGGTCCTCTCAGGCTCAACATTCGACAGTTTGGGTTTGGTGGATTTCGGGGCTCGGGATAACCAAGCACTGTACATATACATACAAACAGACACAAATACATGCGTATATAAATTAAACACAGAAATTACCAAATGTTTATACATATGCACATACACCTACAGACACATACACATACACATGTGCCTAAACATACCTATACACATACACATAAATACGTACATACCCTCGTACGTACATACGTACATGTGTACCTACGCATACATATGCCATGCACATGTTTATGACGTGGAAATGCACATGTACAGAGGAGAGGAGGGAGAGAGAGAGAGAGAGAGTGAGGGAGAAAGACAAACATTGTTTTTGGAGAGATGGTGGTTATAATACGTGGTACCAGTAGGTAAAGGCAGGTTCGCATTTACGTAGGTACGTAATGGTATAGGTAGGTACGCAGGCAGACAGGCAGGTATAGGTAGGTATGCAGGTATGTTTGTATTGCTGTATGTATGCACGTATCTATGCATGCATGTAGGTATGTATGTATGCATGCATGGAGGGATAGCTCGATGCATGTGCTATCTTTCCCAGGCCAAGATTTTGTACCCAGATGCGTAGATCTTGATGGCCACCTGCGCTCCACTGGGAATCGTGCTTCAAGCTTCGCAGTCACATACACAGTAAGGTTCAGCGTGCGGCGAGGGCTGCATCTTGCTTGCCGGTTTCGGATGTGGCATCATCGGAAATGGCAAAGGTTAATAAATGATATTCGACAGTGGCTCTAATCGCATGTCCTCAGCTGTTTCCGTACCATGGCATCGATGATAATGATGCGCCCGAGGAAGCGGCCGCGTGCTGCTGTTCATTCATCGTCTGCGCCGCAGAGACACAACAAACCCGCGCGAATTACGAATACCGCTTGGCCACAGAAGCGGCTTCGGGATTTGTCACCCTGTATCGAAGATCTCCTAAATAAATAAATAAATATATATACTATAATATAATATAATATAATATAATATAATATAATATAATATAATATAATATAATAGAATAGAATATAATATAATATAATATAAGATGATATAATATAATATAATATAATATAATATAATATAATGAACTATAATAATATAATACAATATAATATAATATAATATAATATAATACAATATAATATGATATAATATAATATAATATACTATAATATACTATACTATAATATAATATAATATTATATAATATAACATAATATAATATAATATAATATAATATAATGTAATATAATATAATATAATATAATATAATATAATATAATATAATATAATGCGTGAGGGTTTGGTATCGAAGATACGCTA